ATGTCTTAACAAGGAGAGACCTCGTTTGGAGTCACCACTCGTTGTTGTTCAAGAGAGACTTAAAGCTGCCGTGCAATCCAAAAGGTTCTTTCTTGTTCTGGATGACATTTGGGAGGAAGATATGAGCAAATGGGAGAATGTGCTCTGCCCTCTGGCTAATGGAAGTTTCGGAAGTAAGATTTTGATTACAACTCGAATGGATGAAGTTGCATCGGCAATTGCAAAGATTATTAAAAAGAAGATGGAACCATTGAAAATAAAGGGCTTGGAGGAAGATGTGTGTTTGAAGCTACTAAACACCCATGCATTTGCTGGTGTAGAGAACCTTGGTTCTCATAAAAAATTAATAGACATTGCTAGTTTGATAGTTAAAAAGCTTTCCGGATCTCCGCTGGCAGCAAAGGTCATCGGTGGTGTTCTCAGTTCTCAATTGACTGAAAGCTTTTGGATGAACATTTTAAATAGTCCTGATGTTCTAAACGTAGAACCAGAACCGGGTCGCAATAACATGTTGCCTATTTTAAGATTGAGTTTTACGTTGCTCCGACAACCTCTACAAAATTGTTTTGCATTTTGTGGCATATTCCCACAAGATCATGAGTTTGATAAAGATGATTTAGTCCGAATGTGGATTGCACTGGGTTTCATTCAGGAATCTAAAATTGAAGGAGAGACTTTGGAAGATATTGGAGGAAGGTATTTTGATGCTTTGGTCAGAAAATCTTTCTTTGACGAGTTTCAGGATTACAAGAGAATATACTATAAGATGCATGATTTATTACATGAATTGGCACAGTCTATTTCTTCAGAGGAATGTTTCAGATTTGTGGGAGATGATGTTTTGTCTCTTAAAATTCCTAAGACTATTCGACACGTATTTATTAATACTGAAAATCTCGGAGTGCTGAGAATGATAAAAAATGTTAAAAGCCTACATTCACTTTTTCTTACAAGTAAAAGGCATGGCCAACATTTTACTGAAATACTTACTGAAATTTTTGAAGCATCGAGCAGGATTCGTCTGTTGTTCATAGACTCTACAAATCAGAAAAATATGTCTGAGGCTATTAAAAATTTCAGACATCTTCGATATTTGAAGCTTACTGTTAATCTCACTCAGATGCCAAGATCTCTAAGCAGTCTTTATCATTTGCGGTTCTTAATCTATAAAACAGAGGTGTATAAGGATTCTTGGTCTGATGATTTCTTGCCTGGCGATGTATGTAATCTTTCTAATCTTCGTCACTTGGAATTACCTGGCTATGTGAGTGTACGTGGAATTGGGAAATTAAGGTTACTTCAAGAACTAAATGAGTTTAATGTTAAGAATGAGAATGGTTATAGAATTGGGGAGTTGAAAGAAATGAACGAGTTGCTCAATTTAAACATAAATGGTCTGGAAAATGTGAACGATGCTGCAGAGGCTCGCGATGCAAAATTATGTGAAAAGAAAAAACTCATTTATTCTTGAAATGGAACTCAGACATGAGAGGTGGAAGCCTAGGGAACTTTGTCAATTCTGACTTGGATGTGAATGTGCTTGAAAATCTTGTACCATACAAAAATTTGAAAAGATTGTCCATAGTGTCATATGAGGGTGCAAGATCTGCAAAATGGATGTACGAAGCTGATCTGATCTCCAATCTAGAGTACATCTGTCTGGAGAAGTGTTCAGAGTGGGAAACTCTTCCACCTTTTGGGCAGCTTCCCCACCTCAAGTGGCTTTACCTTCGTAACATGCCAAAAGCAAAGCGGCTTGATTATAAATTCCATTGGAATGACAAGGTTTCTGTGTTTCCATCGTTGGAGGTGCTAAATATGGAGGGATTACAAGTATTGGAGGATTGGTTTGATGGAGCAGGAGCAGCAGCAGATGACTGTTTCTTTCCTTGCTTAACGGAACTCTCCCTCGTTAACTGCCCAAATCTGCAGGAGTTGCCCTATTTGCCTCCTAAGCTCAGGAAAATGCAGATAAATAGCATTGGATGGAAAGCTTTGAACTGCAAGCAAGGAGGCACTTCAAAATCAATTCCCCTTGAAACATTAGAGGTGAGTTCATGTCCAAACATCACATCTCTTCTTCTGGCGGATGTAAGACTTGAAGCAGTGAGAGAATTGAGAATTGAAGGTTGCCCCAATCTGATTTCTCTGGGTGGACTGCAACAAGTGGAGAGTGGCAATGAGAAATTCCAGCTTATTGTCAGTGAAGTTGTTATAAATGACCCATCCTTGTTGCCAACGGTAAATATCGCCTCCTTGGAAAAGTTCACAATTTGTGATAATGATGTGCTGCTTTCTTTTCCAATTGAAGCGGAGCAGTGGTTTCCCCACGTTAGCTCATCCCTTCGTGAGTTGAGCTTTAGACGCCTCATATCCCTGCAGTCTATCCCTTCCTCCTTGGAACGCCTCTCTTCACTTAAGATTCTACGTATCGAAGATGTTCCTCAGATCCAGCAGCTTCTACGCATCCCCGCCTCCCTGGAAGAATTATGTCTTCAACACTTAGAATCTTTGCAGTGCCTGCCAACGTCTTTGTCGGCCATCTCATCCCTCAAGTCTCTATCGTTATTTCTCTATCGTTATTCAGCATTCCACTCCTCAAATCATTGCCAGAACTCCCTTCCTCCTTGAAATCAAATACAATTTGTCTTCAAGATCTGGAATCATTGCAGTGTCTGCCATCTTCTTTGTCGGCCATCTCATCCCTCAAGGAACTAAAATTAGATAGCATTCCACTCGATAGCATTCCACTCCTCAACATTGCCAGAACTCCCTCCCTCTTTGTCTGTTCTGGATATAAATAGTCTTGATAACCTAGAGTGCCTGCCATCTTCTTTGTCGGCCATCTCATCCCTCAACTTTCTTTGGTTAGAAGGCATTCCGCTCCTCAAATCATTGCCAGCTCTCCCTCCCTCTTTGAAGTCTCTGAATCTATGTATGCTTGATAACCTACAGTGTCTGCCATCTTCTTTGTCAGCCATCTCATCCCTCAACAATCTATCGTTAAATAACATTCCACTCCTCAAGTCATTGCCAGGCCTCCCATCCTCCTTGTATTCACTGTCTCTACAGAATATCTTGATAACCTAGAGTGCCTGCCATCATCTTTGTCGGCCATCTCATCCCTCCAGGAGCTAGAGTTAGATACAATTCCACTCCTCAAATCATTGCCAGACCTCCCTTCCTCCTTGAATTCACTGAATCTAAAAAGGCTTGATAACCTACAGTGCCTGCCATCTTCTTTGTCGGCCATCTCATCCCTCGAGGAGCTACTGTTAGTTACAATTCCACTCGTCAAATCATTGCCAGACCTCCCTTCCTCTTTGGCTTCACTGTCTCTTTGGAGACTTGATAACCTACAGTGCCTGCCATCTTCTTTGTCTGCTGTCTCATCCCTCTGGTATCTAGACTTATATAAAATTCCACTCCTCAAATCATTGCCAGGCCAGACCTCCCTTTGCCAGACCTCCCTTCCTCCTTGTATTCACTGGCTATAGAAAATTGTCATCCAGAGTTGACGAAGCGTTGTACAAAAATTTGAGGCTCTGATTGGCACAATATAATCCATATTGATTGATTGGCGTCATTCCAAATGAATCTCTTCCCATCAAAATGAGAATGTGTGAGGTGAGGACTTGTTATTTACTTATATTCATCTCATCCTATGCATTGTTATGCTATGCACAGACTTATTTACTATTGTAATAATTAATATCTGGCTGATTTTGATGAACAACTTTTTGGTCTTACAAATTTCGAATTTTATTTAATTACTTCACACATTTTATTTTATTTTGTTTAGATTTTTTTTTTTTAATCTCATTATCTTCTCAAAATTTCACTGAAGAGAAGCAATTGAGAAGTAACCCATGCTTCTTATAGGTTAGATTTTCTAATTTTTACTAGTTTTGTTTCTTGAAACAATTAAATTATAAAAATGATTGTTTTAGCGTTAAGTTTTAGTTTCAATTGTAGTTAAAACATGATTTGTGATTTTGGATTAGATAAATGACTCTTACGTAGCATTAATTTTCTTTAAAAATGCCTTTTTAGCAGCTATTAAATAATCATAAAAAGGCCTCATAATTTCGCACTTAAGATTCTCTCACATAAGATATTCACATATGCACATCAACGAAAATATCAAATTAAAACTCTGTACTCCCAGAATTGTTGATAAACCTCTTCTCAATCCACAATATATTTATGAAAATCAAAGATTTACATACATACAACACAATTCCTATGTTTTTACATATCTTAACTCTTTAAATTTTAAATTATATATATATATATGCCACTTTAAATATGCTTGAAAAAAGGCATATTGCACCTTCTAGGAGTTGCAATGGTGATAATTGAATGGTATAAATGTAAAAAGGCAAAGTTAGATTTTAGATATGTAAATTCATAGGAATTGTGTGATATATATGTAAATGTAAGATTTTAATATGTAAATGTAAGATTTTAAAAATGTAAGATTTTAAGCCTATGATTGATATGGTAAATAGTTGGAAAACATTTATGATCAAAATTGGTGCTCTAATATTTCTACATAGCAATATTATTTGTTGAATATTCTAATTAAAAATTGAGCATCACACATTTTATGATAATTTACTTTATTTTAAATTAAATGTAAATAAAATTTGATTTATTAATATTTTATTAAACTGATCTAAAACCAAATCTATTAGTTGTACTTGTAACATGATAATCATTTTTATAAAAAATACTCCGACCCATTACATATGTTGCAATGATAAAAAACGAAATATTTGACAAAATTAATGCTTCAAATATAATTTAACCAAATTACAACACTATTTTTATAATAGAAATTACATACATAACCTTTAATAAAAATAAGGTATTCTTACATAAAAGCCACACAATTCTTATGTATTTACATATCTAACACCTAAAGATTGATATTTACATTTATAGCACCATGACGTCACAAATATGTGCATGAAAACATATATTTTACTTTTAAAAAATCAATGATAGTGAAACACTGATACTTCTGATGCAATGTTAACAATGTGAGTGGCATTCATGTAAACATGAAAATTTAGGTGTTAGATTTGTAAATATGTCAGAATTGTGTGGTCGGTATGTAAATGCCTCACAAAAATAACCCATAAATATTGGTCAATCCACAACAGAATCTGCATCAATAAAACGACTTTTGGAAATGAGACTTTACATAACTAAATTTGCAAAAGTAAAATGTTATTTTACAAAATAAACCAAAAAAAAAAAATTAAATACATTTTAAGGGGAAAGGAAAGCTGGAAACATATAATATGAATCGAGAAAAAAACAATTAAAATTAGTCCTTCCTAAGTTGATTGCATCACTTCTAAGAGCTCAATATTCAGTTCAAATGTGGCCCCAGGCTGCATGATAAGAGAGACCAGTGAGGAATCAGGAAATGTCAGCTCTCAAACAAGCTCTATGTTGTCAGCCAGAAAAACAAGGGCAATTATTACATACATAACTCGGTGAAATATTGATATTTACAAAACTATCAAAAATTACAATAAAACCTTAATCCATATATGATTTTTTTTTTTTGTTTCATCAAAATCCCCATTGATTGATTATGACGTACAACCACACATAAAAAATAAAAATAAAATAGACAAATAAGTGTCAGGCTATTTACAAAACTAACACCTAAATATCAAAACTTACAATAAAACCTCAGTCCATAATTTTTGCTTTTATGAAAATCCCGTGGTTTGATTGTAACATGGATAAATACACAGATATGGGTGTTAGCTTTGTAAATACACGAGTTTTGGGCGTTATATATAGATATGCGTGTGTGTGTGTGTGTAATTACGTTGAAAACTATTGGCAGTGAGTAAAATGGGAAAGGATTCACCAAACAACTGCATGGTTTATAGTGATCAGACATTTTTAATGTAAAGTTTGTGGTGAATGTAAAGTTTGTGGTGATGGTCTTTTACCGGTATTTCATTCATCCCCTTCTCACCATAACCAAGTCCGGGAGGAACAATTACAGTTCTCTACAGAAATAAAGACGGAAATATTAGAAATAATACATGAAGCAAAAACATCAAACAAAGATGCGAAAACAGACATAATAAATCAAAGACATCGAGATCGCGGTACTATTTCTGTATGGCATGATTTAGATATCCATGTTATATTCAAAGTCATCTTGGTTAGCAGTATAATACAATTAATAAGTAGGGAATTTTATATACATACCACATGATTCTTATGTATTTACATATCAAACAGCTAAACATGCATATTTACATGCGTACCAACCAAAAAATACCACAATAACTATCTTTTTAGAAGTTAAATGTATCTTTGCATGCATAGGTTTATGATAACAAAATGTTATAATTGTAAGAATCAAACTTTGGGTATTAGATATGTAAATACATAAGAATTGTATGAAAAGTAAGCAAATATTCATAATAATTAATATTATTATTTGTGACCTTTTTTTATTTGTTAAACACCAATTATGTCCAAACAAAATGAAAACAATTGAGGGTTGATGTTAACTTGTCAAAATTAGTGAAATTATTCCAACTCAGAATTTTGTTAGCGTAAGAGCATTTCTCAGAAGTCACAAACTTGATTTAATCGGATGGTGGTGAGAAGTGCGTGAGAGGATATTAGAACATTAACCTCATATGTCATACTACAATTTAATTTAGTTGCGGTGAAAATTAAAGGTTCATTAGGTTAAATCTAAAAGCAGATAAAAATTTTAATGGGAGAAAAAAGATCAGAAGAAGAAAATATTTGCTTGCTTACAAAAAATTGATTGTAGTGAGCAATATATATATATATATATAACTTTTAGTGATTTATATGATAGAATTGATACTAAAGAAGGAAAAATTAGATAACCAAAATATCTAAGAGATGAGATTTCTAGATATCTTCATCAAATTAGATGCATTCTAACATTAAGATAATAGGTTCATAAAGTAAATAAGATCAATTTAGATGTATTAGAATTGAAGATAACATAAATGCTACTTAGAAAAATTATTAAATTAGAATTGTAAGAAATAAATAATGTTGGCAAATCATAATGAATAAAAAAATGAAGTATATTATAGATCGATTAAAAAAACATGTAAGGAGATTTAGAAAATTATGAGGGACATTGCAGTGGTTTGATTAACAGATAGTTTTGATAGAATTTTGAAAATTAAAGTGATGAAAAAAGATTAGAAAAGAAAAGATTAGAAAAGAAGCAGAAAAGAAGCATTTGATATTGATATTTAACAAGGAACATATGCAAGATTGTACTAATTATACAGGAATCAAGACTTATAAGGCTTGCAATGAAGCTATGGAGAGGGTAATGGAATATATGCTTTGAAAAATTAATGCAATTTTGATGAACCATGAAGATCTACTATAAAAACATATTTATGGTAAGACAATCAATAAAAAATATATAAATAAAAAAAAAATCTTGACATGATTTTTACTGATTTTAAGAAGGCATACGATAGAATATCATGAGAATTGATTAACCGTGAATTAAGACAGAAATGGTGTGTCATAGATTCGTTAACATCAATAAAAATTTGTATGATAGAATATTGACTAATGTAATAAGTAATTAAGGAACAACCTAAGGTTTTCAATTATAAGAAGTTTACATTTAAAGAAAATTATGGTTATAACTTTATGTAGATGAAATGATGAAAAAACTTAGCTTGTTCATTCTTTTAATGGGTATTAATATACAAAAATACACATAACTAAAGAAAAAAATAATTACTATAAAAAGCATAAAAAATTGCCTTTTGCTAAATGCCATTTAATAATTTAAACGTCGCCGATTGATGCCAAGGAAGCAATCCAGGTGCACTTTTTTTTTTTTTTTTGTATATGAATCCTTGAGCGAGGTATTTCATTATAAGTAATAAGCAGTAGAAGAGATTTTTCATTGCAAGATGAACTTGTGACATCTGATTTTCCTTTTCTCGATCTTATTAATCCGACGGCTCTTAGACACTCTTCAAACTAGATGGTAGAGGTCCACCATTCCTAATTTGTTTATAATTTTCTTGAATGAGGGGAAGAATATGTCAACAAGCTGTCTTTCTATTGGGACAAGGGTTGTAAACGAGTCAAGCTTGAGTGAGCTCAAACTTGGCTCATGTTCGGCTCGTGCTCGAAATTGCTCGTGAATATTGTGTCCATATTCAATTCGATTTACATACTATTATTCATGTTTGGTTTGAAGTTGGCCCATTTAAATTAATTAGAAAAATACATATAGGGTGTTGGAATAAAACTTGCACCATTCATGTGCAATAGAGGATGCATAACCATGACTACACAAGTTGTTATGATTTAAATATAGAAATAAATACATATAATATATTCTTATATAAATAATATCTATAATTTCTTATTTCAAGCTAAAACGAGTCGAACACGATCCAACAGAGGGTTGTTCGCGCTACTTAACGAGTCAAATACGAGTTGTTCGTGAACAATAAGCTTTTTTGACAGCCCTAGCTAGGACACATAGAGTGCACATCAATTCATCTTTTTATTTCTCTTTTATAAAATGCTTTTCCACTTAAATGTGTTTGTATGATTATGGCAGACTAGGTTAGCAAGACTAATGGTTGATGTATTATCATAGTATATTTTCATAATTTTTTTTCATTTGAACTTTAAGTCTAGTATGATCATGATGCATAGTAGCTCACATATTCCTTGAGCAGCAATCACTCTATATTCATATTCAACACTAGATTTTAATAAATGTTTTTCTTAAGATGGTAGAAGGATGGTAGAGGTCTACCATTCCCAATTTGTTTATAATTTTTATGAATGAGGGGAACAATATGTCAACAAGTTGTCTTTCTATTGGAACAAGGGTTGTAAACGAGTCAAGCTTGAGTGAGCTCAAACTTGGCTCATGTTCGGCTCGTGCTCGAAATTGCTAGTGAATATTGTGTCCATGTTCAACTCGATTTACATATTTTTATTCGTGTTCGGCTCGAAGTTGACCCATTTAAATTAATTAGAAAAATACATATAGGGTGTTGGAATAAAACCTGCAACATTCATGTGCAATAGAGGATGCATAATCATGACTACACAAGTTGTTATGATTTAAATATAGAAATAAATACATGTAATATATTATTATATAAATAATATCTATAATTTCTTATTTCAAGCTAAAACGAGTCCAACACAATCCAACAGAGGGTTCTTCGCGCTACTTAAGCTAGGACAATAGAGTGCATATCAATTCAGCCTTTTATTTCTCTTTTATAAAATGTTTTTCCGCTTAAATGTGTTTGTATGATTATGGCAAGTTAGGTTAGCAATACTAATGGCAGATGTATTACCATAGTATATTTTCATAAATTTTTTTTCATTTGAACTTAAGTTTAGTATGATCATGATCCATAGTAGCTCACATATTCCTTGAGCAGCAATCGCTCTATATTCATATTCAACACTAGATCTTAATAAATGTTTTTCTTAAAATGGTAGAGGTCTACCACAAATTGTGACATTTCCTCCAAACAACGCGTACTAACCTAAAGTAGATTGTCTATCCATAAGTGATATAGCATAGTTTGCATCAATATATTGTTGAATTTATAAAATATTTTGCAATTTATACAAATAAAAATTCTTTTTCTAGATTTACCAAACATCTAAGATTTTTGCAAGCAATTTTAAAGTGAGAGTCTTTAGATTTGTACAAGAATTGACTCACACGATTTATTGTGAATGTAATATCAGGTTGGGTGAGAGCTACATAAATCAAAATTTCACCCCTATGACTGGTTCAGTCATTCTTCATCTATGTACAACTTCTAACCTTGTCCAATTGGGTTTCACACGGCTTGCACGCAATCATTTTTGTTTTGTTTCTTTTAGAAGATCCATAATATATTTTCTTTGTTAGATAAATATTCCTTATTCAAATTGACTAATTTATATGCCCAAAAATATCAATGTTTGCAAAGCTCTTTGATTTCAATGTTTAAAAATATCGTTATCTTGACTTGTAAAAAGTGAAATAGACATTTGCATGTGTATGTATGATGGCATATATATTCGTAAAAATTGAAGTATAGATGCTAGATATGCAAATAGATAGTAATTAAGTGGTATGTATGTAAATCTTCCTTTGAATAAACATAAATGAGTTAGGCATGTACAAAAAATAATAGAAATAGTGCCACTTAAATAACTAGATAAAATTAATATGGAAGGATTAGAAAAGTGAAGGGGATTCTCAACGATCCATATATTATTTGTTCTAATTTAATTGTCTCGTGATTTTGTCCCCTCAATATCTTTTTCTGAGAGTCCGCCCATCCCAAAAATGCTCCATCATAAGCCTACATAAGTGTGGTGTTTTTAATGACACTCCATGTATCACACCAAAGGAGTCTTGATGTTTGAGAATCTGATTTCAACTTTATACGGGGTATTCTACAAAAACATGATGATAGAACTGTTTTAAATAATATGGTTATATATTATATCTTAATCAATATTCAATATGAATGAATGAAGATTTTAGACTTAGGCCAAATAGTTGAGACGGGGCTAAAAAATAATGACAATGGCAGGAAACAATGGTAAATATATTTTTTTATTATCATTATTTTAGCCACTAAATATCCTAGCATCTCAATGCTGAAAGTTTTAATCGACATTTATATATTATCAAAATAGAAGTTAAATGACATTTATCTCATTTTAATACACAAATATCACCAACTTAATCAAAAAATCTTGTTAATAATATGATATTATGTAGCAGATGACATTGAATAAAAAAATCCCTTATAATAATAATACTAAAAATTAACAAACATACAAAACACAAGGCACCCACAGACTAAAGGATTTGGGAAAAATAGATTCATAACGTCTAACCACTAGCTTTGCATGACGTTTTTCGCACATTGACATAGGATTACAATATCATAGATAATATATAAAAAATAACATGCAAGAAAATAAATAGAAACATACTTTTCCCCCAACTCTCATCCCTTCAGTTATTGTATACATAGCTGGTGGAGGTTTCGGTGCAGCCTGAGCTGAATAGAGCCCATTGGCATTATCAATAAATTCACGCTTTCTTTCTTTTCCTGGCGGAGAACCAACCTTAAACTCGTAAGGCTAGTCAAAGAAAGTATTGGTTAGCAGTCTAAAATTTAAGGTAGAGAGGAACAGAAAATGACGTTTCTAAAAGCAGAGAAAAAGTAGGAAGAATATTAAATATCAGAATCAGTGCACAAATTTTGTTTGTCAACCCCAACTTTTTATTTAGGAAAGAACATTATGTATTTACCAATTAGTGAGCTACAATTACTTTCATTCCTCTTGAATAATAGTCAAGATTTCACATAACCAGAGATAAAACATTTAGATTTAAAAAATATTATATACTCAAGTTCCATTTGAGCAGCTCATTGTCATTAAAAGCTATTGCCAAACAATTTAAAAAAAAAGATTATTTTTAATTCTGTTAATCGGTATCATAAAATGTTTCCCTTCTAACATGATATTTTGTTTTACAACTACCACAACCTAATGAATTTGACTATTAAAAATTATTTCACCCCAGTAATTTTGAAGAAGTAACAAGAAATCTGCAGCCAAACACAATTATAACTATTGTATGAAAAGCAAAATTATAAAAAAGTTGCCCTCAGACAAACTCTTAATATAGTATTCCCATTTAAAATTTGATTAGGAAAAAAATCTCTCAGAAAATGTAGGATATGAAAAAGGATTATCATACATAACTTTATAATTTATTAAAAAAGTTTGTTTCCATGATTTGAACTTGGAATCTCTTTGAGGCACAAAAGGTAACTTACTACTGCTCTGCTTCTGCCTTAAAATCTAGAAATATTAACACCGAATAATGATTCTTGTCTTAAGAATGCTTCAAGCATTTGAAGTAAATCTAGCATCAGAATAAGCTTCTTTTAGCAAGATTGTAAATGGTCCCAAACTTTTGGAAAAGAGTCGAGTACAAACATAAATATCAAGAAAAGTAACAAAATTACAATAAAATACTATTCCTAAAAATATATCAAGGAATACTCAAAATAAATGAAGGCCCACGTATCTTTCTAGAGCCATATTTATTGGCACTTGAATAAATGACTTTCGATAATAATATTGCACAAAGATTCAAAATTAAATCCTTCAATTTTCATATGACCACTCTGTATTTTTCGACAAGTTTCCTGATAAGGACGGGTACCTTGAAATACTTGGTAACATTTCAGTTCTGATACGATCTTAAATGCCATGGAATGAGTATTACAGAGTAATTACTTGTCATATAAAAATAAACATAAAAAGTAATGTCCTTATAGTCGATAAGTCAAGCCAAATAAGTTTTGCAAACCTGTGCGATAATACGGTTTCCAGCTAGAAGTTTAGATTCTCGACTGGACACAACTGTGATGCCACGGTAGACACAGTCAAAATGCACCTGTAATGAATACAAAATTCATCTGGATCAATGTCCTAGAAAAATAAAACAAAACACGGCAAGAGAAGGTTAAGTTCTTCATTTTAAATTGACCTTGACCAAAACACCCCTTTCAACTATTTGACCCTTCCCTTCAACAAGATCGTAGTACTTCAGTCCTTCAGCTGCTTTAGATTACGATCAGAAACTGAAGAACAAAAATTCATTATAATGCAGAAAGAATGGATGCGTAATCTCAAAAACCAAAACATGAACAACAGTTTAGATTACCTTCCTATAATTATTGAACTTCACAATCACCTGTCTATATTATTAAAACAGGCAACTTGCAAAACTAATTTTATTTAACTATGAAATAAGAAGAGAATTAGAGATTGATGAACAAAATAAACCATAATCAGTCCCAATGTTCAAAGATGAAAAAAAAAAATAGTAGCCATATTGTATAAAAAGAAATACCTAATAAAGCATGGAGTGTTCATTCTTTCGAGAGGTATTTATATACAATATTATATAGAAAGAATAACAAAAAGAAATAAATAATTACCATAATAAAAATAAAAATTATCTTTAGTCATCTATCATTTGATTATTTAGAGATTATCGATTGAAAGATTGTCGATTGATGTCAATAGAGCAATCCATAGGCTCTTGCTTTCCTTTTATCTATGAATTCATGCGAGAGGTATTTCCTTATTAACAATGAATCTTTGGCCCCTAATTTTCCTTATCTAGCCCTTTTTTATCCGAAAATCCTTCAATGCTCTCCCTCAGATTGGATAGTAGAGATCTATCATTCCAAATTTACTTATATTTTTTCTTGAATGCAAGGTCACTTAGTCCTTTGGTAAATACACCAGTAAGTTGTTTTCCTCTTGGAACATATGGAGTGCAAATTAATTCACTTTCTATTTTTTTTTCTTTTATAAAATGCATATTTACTTCAATATAATTGATGCAATCATGTTGTATAGAATTGTGAGCAATGTTAATGGCAAATTTATTGTTAAAGTATATCTTTATAGGTTTTTCCCACTTGACTTTTAAATCATCGAGTATAATCTTGATCCATAAAAGCTCAAAGATTCCTTGGTCAATTGCCTTTAAGTTAGAGTCAGCACTAGATTGATACAACAAGTTAATTTTGTAAGCACCGAAAAATTCTCCAAAAATTTTTCTACTTTCCTTCTTTGTTCATCACTTCAGCGACTTCCCGATTATACAATCATGATTGGAGTTAGAAAAGAAGGCAGCGGCGGACTCCAAAACCCTCGCCTTCCTGCTCGTATCGTTAGCTCCAACCCAAAACAATCAAGGAAGGCAACCCTCTCCTCTCCCTATCGTGCACATTAGCTCCTTCGAATCTCGTAGATAGATTTCCAATGAGTTTCTTAACCTAGGATTTAAGGGTTAAGGCAAATCTGGGGAGAAACGGGATTTAAGGGTTTGCAGGATTAAAAGATGTCATTTTTTTCTACTATTTATTAAACCTTTAGGTGTATGTAAACCCCCCAACACTTAATTCAGAAAGTGAAAATTTCACCTATATCATAATAAAACAAAAACAAAATACTATGATATTAATTAAAGTTAATTAATTTCATAGTTTTCTTCTTTTATATAATGTAATAATAATGATTTATTATACCTACATATATTAAATCTTGTAGATCCATTAGACCACCAATTTGAATGAATGAATAAATTGTTTAATCATTTATAATTTTACTTTTAATTAGTGTGGAATTGCTAGTCGAACCGTCAAATTCGTAGAAGTATCGTGATTTCCGCCTCGAGGTAAGTAACTGTTGTTTATTGGAGGATATATGTACCATTCCTGATTCTAGGCGTTAATCATTGTCAATTGTAATAGATTCGTAGCTATTCTATAATATTGTCGGCATGTCATTGTTATTTCAATTTTATACTTGCAAAGTTTCCTGCATATTTCTATTAATCTTGCAGTTATGATGTTTTCCTTTTCTGCACTTATATGAATTTGCATATGTCAAATCATAAGTTTGCATGAAATATTATAATTTTAACATGATACATCTGTAGAAACAATTTGACATGCTTGTGTATGATGATATGTAGATCGATAGATCTCTTTTGAATTTTGGCTAGCCGGACCAACGGGCCTACAGAGTTACGACCCTACAAATTTCCTTGGGTTAGTATTGTTCTTCCCAGTTTCATGGTGTCAATTAAAACAAACTATATATAAATATAACTAAAAGTTAAATAATTAGAAATTTTGATATGTTTTCGTGTATGATATGCATATTTGATGTTTACTTCTTCATTATTGTCTTACAGTGTTACATATGTGCATAATAATTGTCCTTATTCGTCCATATTGCATGCCCCATTTATCTTATCTTTTATGTTTTAATAGATAGTTGTTATTTACTGAATTTTCTATCAAACTTACTATTTGATATTTTTGCATAACATGTTATATTCAACACCAGTAGGACCGTTTCCACCGGAGCAGACTTTCAATTTTACCTACCATATTTTGATAATTTTCTTTAGTATTTATTTTAACTATTGTATTTCTCTTTGTTAAATATGAGTAGTTGTTCAATGTTATCATTTCTGTTTTGATTTAACTGATTTTTTATTTTCAGAACAGTTGTATCAGTGAACTTTTAAGCATTAATAAAATTTATATTTCTTTTCAATTGCATATAAGTCTTTATTTGAGAATACAAAACAATTTCATTTCATTTCATCATGTCCTGCTTTGTCTGGGTGTACCGGCTTCCGGACCCGGGGGCAACAAATTTTACCCCTTCATATAATAAGATTTCCTTGTAATAACAACAATGCATGGTATTCTAAAGTGGATCATCTATGCATAGGTGATCCAAAATAACATGCATTATATATTCTTCAATTTGTAAGGTATAATGCATTTTATATATAATTCATTTTCTTGAACTTGTTTTAAAGTATCTTAGAATCATGTAAGTAGCTTGAATATTAGATTTCTTAAGGGTCTGTTTGGGAACCCGTTTCTTTGGCTTTTCGGTTTCATGACGGGGAACGATGCATTTGGGAGTCTATTTATCGCGTGTGTTTCGCAGATGGCGGGCTGCAAATCTGCGAACGCTGAAATGGAAGGGGGGCTCTGCGTTTCGCGGCAGAAGCTCCGTTGTGACTGGATTTTGACGTCTTTGCCTCTTCTCAAATCTGATAATCCCAGTACCCTATCCCCGCATATACCCCTCGCCCCTCTCCTTGTTTGTCACATGTGTCATTAGAGCTGAAACCCAGTTGCGCTCGACTCCCTCCTGCCTCATTCAACTTCTGTGTTTCACTTTTGTAATCGATATAATTTTTTGTAGACTTGTTCTGCATATGCATGAAATGATGTTAGCTGGTCGATTTGCTTGCTCTTTCCTATGCATATGTGTAGAGGAATATTTTAGGGGAAGAATTTTGAGCATTTATTTTATTTTTTTATCTGATAGATTTTTGTCAATGGAATTGCATAAACTATGATGAAAAGTTGAAGTTTACAAGACAAATAAATTAGCAACATCTATAGTTATCTTGATTAGCCAGTAGATGTTATGGAATGCAATATATATGAGCATTGTTCATCTATTTCTTTAATATTTTTTTTTGTACTTGTTCTACATATGCATGAACTGATGTTAATTGGTCGATTTGTTTGCTCTTGCATATGCATCTGTGTAGAGTAACGTTTTGGGTGGGGGATGTTGAGCATTGTTTTCTTTTTTTAGTATATGAGACACTTTTATCAATGAAATTGCATATGTTTTGTGCAAAGATAAAATGTACATGATAGATAAGTTAGTAGTTCTTATATTTATCCTAATCAACCAATATAAGCTATGGAATGAAGTATATATGAGCATTATTCATCTATTTCTTAAAGAATTTTTTTGTGGACATGTTCTACATATGAATGCACTGATGTTAATTTGTCGATTTGCTTGCTCGGCTTCTCTTCAGTGTAGAGTAACATTTTGTGGGAAGAATATTGAGCACTGTTTTTTTTTAGAATATGAAAAATTTTTATCAATGGAATTGCATATGTTTTGATGCAAATTACAAGATAGATAACTTATCAGCATCTATACTTATCCTGATCAATCAGTAAAAACTATGAAATGAAATATATATGAGTATTGTTATCTGTTTCTTTAAGAATTTTTTTGTGTACTTGTACTACATATGCATGCACTAATGTTAATTGGTCGATTTATTTGTTATTGTCTCCTCTTCAGTGTAGAGTAACCTTTTTTTTTTTAGGAGGGGTGTTGAGCATTGTTTTCTTGTTTTAGTACATGAGAGACTTTTATCAATGAAATTGTATACGCTTTCTTGCAAAGTTGAGATTTACATGAAAGATAAGTTATCAATATTTATACATATTCTGATCAACCAATAAAAATTATGAAATAAAATATATATGAGCATTGTTCATCTGTTTCTTTAAGAAGTTTTTGTGCGCTTGTTCTACATATGCATGCACTGATGTTAGTTGGTCGATTTGTTTGCTCTAGCTTTTTCTTCAGTGTAGAATAACAATTTGGGGGGAGACTATTGAGCATTGCTCCTTTTTTTGTAAATGAGATATTTTTACCAATGAAATTGCATATATTTTGATGCAAAGTTGAAGTTTACAAGATAGATAAGTTAACAGCATCTATTCTTATCCTGATCAACCAATAGAAGTTATGGAATGAAATGTATATGAGCATTCTTTATCTGTTTCTTTTAGAATTTTTCGTGTACTTGTTCTACATATGCATGCACTGATGTTAGTTGGTCGATTTGATTACCCTTACCTTCTCTTCAGTGTAGAGTAATATTTTGGGGGGTGACTGTTGAGCATTTATTCCTTTTTTAGCATATGAGAGACTGTTACCAATGGAATTGCATATATTATGATTTAAAGTTGAAGTTTACCAGATAGATAAGTTAGCAGCATCTACTTTTATCTAGATCAATAGGCGTCAATGTTGGGCTACAACAGAAGATCCCACCACAAATTTGGATGAGCCCAAATGTGCTCATTCCAAAGAGATATACGAGTAACAACCATATGAAAGAGACCAGAGGGAGTACAGTCAGTCCAAACGACCTGCACCCTCTACAAAAAAAGGGAAAAAAAAACTAAGATTTGGGCAGCACATTTATCCCAACAGATAATACAGCTGGTCACAAACTGCACTAGTATCACTTATAGTGCCCGCACTGCTCTGCATGCACACCCAACAATGATAAATGTTGTCAAGCTATTCGATTCAATTTCAGAAATTTTTGATGGCATACCCCTCTTCTTATTTGTTGTAAAACTTCTTGAGCATCGAAACATGCGGAGGCTTTCTTCTTGCTGCTACGGAATGGAGGATTCTTTACCTCCGTTATTTTTAGAAGAGTTAAACTAGTTAGATGACATGCACATCTTTTTTTTTTTAATTGTTGCTATTTAATTAGATTGGCTATTTTGAAAAACCCAACAGATATTACAACTGGTAACAAACCGCACTAGTATCACTCATAGTGCTCGCACTGCTCTGCATGCATACCCAACAATGATAAATGTTGTCAAGCTATTCGACTCAATTTCAGAAATTTTTGATGGCATACCCCTCTTCTTATTTGTTGTAAAACTTCTTGAGCATCGAAACATGCGGAGGCTTTCTTCTTGCTGCTACGGAATGGAGGATTCTTTACCTCCGTTATTTTTAGAAGAGTTAAACTAGTTAGATGACATGCACATCTTTTTTTTTTTTAATTGTTGCTATTATATTAGATTGGCTATTTGTAATATTTACATTTCCATTGTGAACTATGACTTGTGTGAACTATTTCTGACGTTTCATTATTTGTGAATTTTTGTAGTTAAAATACTTTCATTGCACGCAAGTTGAACATTTATTTGCTATGAGAATAACATGTTCTTTTAAAATACTTTCTCGATGCTGAAATAAACTAAACATTATTTGTTCAAACACATGGAGCCACCAAATGAAGAGAAGATTATAGAGATAGTTGAGCAAGCGACAATCAATACTAGTACAGTTTGTCTAATTCATGAGTATTACGAGAGACTCTTTGTAAGACACTTTGTGTGTCATCGTCGCCTGTGGATGGCAGTTGATTGGCAAACTAATGGAAGCTCATCAAACCTAGATTCAGAACAAATTCCGGATGTCGAAAATTATATTCTGCGATTTACTGGATGAATTACAATCCAAATATGATTTGCATGGATCTTCTCGATTTGCATCCCGAGAAGTCCTAGTCATCTCATTTTTCATCACGTCACACAATGAGTTCATTCTTGTTATTTCTGAGCGTTTTCAGCACTCTACAAAGACAATCAACAGGAATTTCCTCGTCGGGGTTAGCTCTTTGATGAAAATGACTACGGACATCGTCAAACCACTGGACCAAGCTTTTGCACAAACACCTCGGGAAATCCATAGTGATCTGAGGTGCTTGTCGTTTTTCAATGTATTGATCGCACTGTCAATTGTAACAGTACTACATTAATGAAATTTTATAAATAGCAAATGTTTTGACATTTTTTTATAAAAAGTACTACATCGGAGCAATTGATGGAGCGCATGTAAACGAATAAGTTGGAAATACGGAAAAGATAGCATATATTGGAAGGTGTGGGGCTGCTGCATAGAATATATTAGCATTATGTGATTTCACTATTTGTTTTACGTTTGCGATAGCTGGTTGGCAAGAGAGTGCACACGACAACAGAGTATTAGAGTATTTAAATTTGCAAACCAACGACCTAAATACAAATTCTCGATGCTTGCCCTAGGTTGGTGCA